ACTTATATTCCTCTGCTTTGACCTGTACCCCTTTTATTTCTTTATTTGCTCTAATTTGAACTAAAAGTACTTCAAGAGTCAAAATAAAGAGTAGAGGTGAAATTGGGCATCCCTGTCTTACCCCTTTGTTTATTTCAAAACTTTTTGTGTTCTCTCCATTGAATATCACACTAGCTCTCTGTGTTCTATATATTGCCTTGATTTGATTATTTAATTGTATCCATAATTAATGTGACGATGAATACAATATCTTAATTTCGGAATGGTTACTTTCCAGCTTTTCATCTTGAAAATAAGATACTAATGCACATGGGTTTCATCTCAAGCCTATATGAATCTGGGCAGTTAATAATACTTAAAAACAGAATAAAAACAATATAAGAAAACTATAAATAGCAGCTGGGGAAAAACAACCAACAGCAATACGGAATTCATAACAGTAAATACAACTAAGAAATGGGTTCACTTGCATCATCAGGGCCCCAGGCTCGCTGATAAAACCAAGTCTTCAAGGTTTTACCAAAAAAAGTCAGTGCAGTTAGGGAAGGTCTGATCTCTGTGGGGGATGATGTTCCAGAGGACAGGGGCCACAACAAAAAAGATTCTCTTCAGATGACACTCCCTGATGGGACAGGAGCATTCATCTCCTGTAAGATGTATAATCCAGGGAGAGACAGTCCTATATAAGTAACCCAGTCCCAAGAGGTCCAGCACCTTGCATTGAACCTGGAAGCATACTGGCAACCAATGCACCTTGCAGAGCAGAGAGTTTGCATGTGCTGTATGACAGACACCCATGACTGCCTGTATCACTGCATTTTGCATCAGCTGAAGCTTCTGAACACTCTTCAAGGGCAGCTCCATGTAGAAGCATGTTGCAGAAACCCACTTAGGACACCAATCAGGGACACCAATGACGTGACAAAGTTAGCATATTGAAGAATGGAGATTGGTTTGTGGGCTAGAGGAGGGGATGGGGGGGGAGAGATAACAATAGAAATTTCATTTAGTGAGACTTGAAAGATATAATCTAATAATTCACTTTTCCTAGAGAGGCTATGGAGAAAATCAGCCTCATTTATTGACAGTGTCTTCTTACAGCTGATAATGATGCTAAACAAAAATATATTTATGCATGGGAAATGTTTATGAGTCCTATTTCCACTTTTCAAAGCATTAAGCAGAGTTGCATTCTGGCCCCATCATTGCCTAGGTTTTAAATTAATGACATTGATCAGGAGAAGGTCTTACAACATCATATCAGAAATGCCCTCCATCATCATACCATACCCCCAAAAAGTTAATTCTATTACTTGATTTCATATTTAATGTATAATAAACGTTATGCATACTACTTGTCTAATTTATTTTATTTTATACATACTATTATATTAATGTTTAATAAATGATCCTATCTTCCAGGAGGATCCTAGAATCCTATTGGAAGAGAAAATGCAGTTTAAAAAAATTAGATAAATGGAAATTTTAAGTGAGGCTGGGGTGTATGAACTATGTGGTTATTTAGAGCATTTATTTACCTCCTATTCTGGATTTTGAAATTTAAGTGTTGTTCACATTCTTTCATTCATTTTAGGAGCCACTTCTTAAGTTAAAGGTGCTTTTGTGTTTTGTTTTTTAAAAAGAAAATCTTTACTACTGTTTCTTAATTGTAGGCATTCCAGAAAGGAATAAGTTCAAAGACTTGTATTTTTCCTGTTGGAGGGAAAGTGCTAATTACAGGGGAAGAATATAACTCACTATCTGATAAACATTTCCCAGAACCTAATGGTAAGGTATAGCCCATTCCCCTTTATTTTTTATACTGCTTAGCATTTTAGTTGATGTTCTCTTTCAAGTGTTGTATTGTCTTTATAAAAGGTTACACACATGGTTTAAAGGCATGCATTTAATAAGCTTGCCTACCTTACACAATAAAGTGCTATCCTATGATTGTCCTGAAATGTAATATAATTTGAGTCATATCAGACTCAAAACCAAGAGCAACAATGGAAGCTTAATAGAAGCAAAGATAGCAAGAGACAGAGACATAATCAAAGCCAAGTAAACACTAATATTCAAGAAAACAGGCACTCAGGCACGATTCTGATGTCAGAGACAAATTACTCAGATTAGGGACAGTATGTATGTATATATTTATTGAATTTATATAACTGCCCATCTGATGCACATAACTTATACATTCTGAATCTGGGGAAATGTGAGTCCATACTAAGGAATCTGTTCACTGAATGCTCAGATAGGCTGATGCTACAACCTGGGTGATGTCTAGAGCACCTAGAGTTGCAATGAAAACTAAGCAAATGTTAAGGCAAGATTACCTGTCTACTGGGAATTTGTCTATAATTACATGTAAACCTTTTGGAATGACTAAGAACATAAACGTATGCATATATTTAAGGTTCCAGTGAAAAGGAGAATACCCAGGCCTTTGTTGTCCCTCCAAAAGAATTTCCAGTCTACCTGTGGCAGCCGTTCCTTAAACATAGTTATTACTGTTTTCCGGATTCAGAAGCTCAGAAGCAATTCAGCACCATGCTGAACGATTGCATCAGGCACTTAAACCATGGTGAGTATAGCAGACATAATCTGATAACGTTGCTATTGTTCTGCCTTTCAGGAAAAGATCCATTTGACCATTGGTTGCAAACTAATCCATGTAGCAAAAATGAAAAACTATGTTTCTCTTGCATTATCCTGATAAGTAATGACATGCTTAGAGTTGACCCAACACCTTTTAAATGAGAGACATATGGCTTCGTGTTTATACACGCTTATCTTTTTAAGGATCAGTTAGTGGGTGGTGGGTGGAGAAACCAACTATGTTGACAGCAGCAAAGTCATCCTCTATATTGTGGAGAGAACTTTGCTGGTAATTCAGTCAGACATGGAGAAGGCAAAAGCTGGGTTGGCAATCCTATTATTTATTTCCTTACCCTGTCATTTTGTCTAGCCGTACAGGAAAGAGAGTTGTAGATTTGCTACCGAGAGTGTAGTTTGCAGTTTCAAAAGTTCAATCTGACAAAGTGAAATAACACTGATTTTGTTAACATTAGAGAAAGTGCTTTCTCATTTTTTACTTATTGGTTCTTCAGAGCATAAGATTTGCCTGAAAGAGGTGATATTGGAGAAGCATGTAGGGGATAGCGTTTGCACTGTGAAATCACAATGGTTTGTCATTCTGATGAGACCTGCAGATGCTGTGGCTGCTTCTGAACATAATGTTGAAATGTAGAATACTCTTATTCAGAAAGCCTGATATGCTTTTCATTTCCTAAACTACATATAGATATACATTACAAAAGAGCAGAAAGGGAAAAAAATCAACTATTGTCTTTTAACAATTTTCATATGCACTTGAAATTTGCATAACAATTATATATTAAGACTCCCCCCCCCAAAAAAAAACACCTGCTGGACTTGTTGACTCAGAGAATACGTGACCCCTGCTTTCTTATGCAGAGAAATTAACCATCTCTCTCCAAAAATGTGTGAACTGGCATGTTCTCTAACCATTCTGCTCTTAAGAATGTTTTTTTTTTCCCAATCTTCTGCAGGAGGATTTGCAGAATAATGTGCATTAACCGATTTGTACATTTCTCCCACTTCGCTATGTAAGAAAACCGAGCAAGTTGAAATGGCTAAACTCAAACTTTATCAGGCAAAAGGAAAATGTGTGTTTAGCTGTTTCAACTTCTTTTTTTTGGGGGGGGGTTGCAGAAGCCTGTTAGTTTTGCAAGCCAATGGGGAATAAGAGGTGGCAAATAGCTGGACACTGTTCTTTCTGGGATTTTTTGAAAACTAACTGGAAAACTCAGACTGGAGCATAAAACTGGGATCTCAGTCAGTGTGTGTTTTGTCATCAACATACGGCAAAAGGCCCACACACTCAAGTTTCAGCATTGAGATGATTTCATACTCAGTATAAGATTTCATATGTATTTTGAAATATCTATCAAATATTGACTGATTTTTCAAAACTTCTAGTGGAATTGGTGGAAAGAACTGGTCATGTAAGAAGTAACCCTCACTTCATAGTCAGTGTCACAATGTAAATGGCCATGGCAGGCCAAAACATGCTTTAAAAACCCTTAGGCCTGAAATTCAGGAGTGGTAACTAGAATATTTTCCTTTACCAATTTTATCTTCCTTTTTCATGAATGAGGCCCATTCCTTCCAAGCTATAGTTCTGTAAGCAGAACTGTGAATATACAGTGCATTTGGCACTGAAAGGTTAAGGAAGATTAAGTCCAAGCCTACATATGGTGCTGCAAATCCCACAGGAGGAACACATGAGCTGATATTTTGCAAACCATTGAATCTGTAAGCTTCAGGGAACATGTTTGGTAAAGCAGTCAGCTGAAGTCAATTTCCTGTAAAGCATTCTTAAAGGGAAAGTTTTTCCATTTCATGGTTTATAATCTCCTTATTCATTTCTCAAAACCTCGGTAATAAAATCATCTGCGTGGAGTCTAATACCTTTTGTTTTGTCCTGGGAAAGTAATTGAAGGGCTCAATTTTTCCTGGCACTTTGTGAATCTTCTGTGACTCTAAATCTTCAGTAATGCTTTAGTTTGTTCAAAAGGCAGAACTGTTTCCAGACCTGCAATCCTCTTGGTAGTTTCTGTTTTTAATTGAATTTCAAACCATCACTTTGGAGGACAATAGGGTACTTGCAAAATGAACAAAAGCAGTGTTTCCAATTTTTGAACAGTTTTGGATTTCTTTCCTGAAATGTTTGTTCCTTCTCTTCCTCCTCTTACTTCTTCTTGTCAGAAGGGTGGAACTACTATACTCTGGAAAGTTCTCCCACTTATTAAGCATTTGGATACGTTGAATTAAAGATTTTCTGGGCTAGATGCTTCTAGGTGTTTTTTGTTCTGCTTTTTATGTTGCACAAACTGACATTTCATCATGCCTAATCATGTGATCTTGTTTTGAGGGAGGAAGTTCATTGCAATATGTTTTAACTGAATGTTAGTACGGAATCTAGCAACAAGATGGCCGTGTCTTGACTGATGTCCTCATCTGGTATGTCACCTGTTCAATTACCTCAGGATGGCTACTTAATGATGTGGATCTTGGGAGACAAGGCCAAGAGATATAGCCAGGGGAAAAGGTAGTTGAGCCTGCTGCAGAAATGTGGGCAGGGCAAGGAACTTAGAAGATACCCTCCCTAGTTTTATGTGCTGTAAAGGAGCTCGGGGAAGTGACAGAGAATTGTATTTCAGATTTGCAAGATTCTGTTAATGTAACTTTACAATAAAGCAGAATTAGTTCATATGGTTGTGTTTCCTGTCTGGTGAACCTAGTAAGGCTGATATGTTTAGCTTTTAGTTTAAAAGCTAAACAGTCATTGGTAGCAAGTATAGACACACTGCAACTAACATCTCCAGCCCTCCTGTTGCAGCTTACGTTCCCTTGAGAGGCGTTGTAATTTTATATGCCAGTCTGATAATTCTAAGCAAGTTAAATTTGATATGATTTGATAAGAACAAATTCAGAATTTGTTAAGGCTGTGGGAAATAATTAGGCTGAAGGTCGACTCTGCTTTTGCTCAAAACATTCCCATCATAACTCAGTCATGGTGTGTATAAATATTGTAGTGTTTCTGAAAGTGAAAGGTGAAAAAGACCTCCACAATAGCAGAAGGTTTCCTTCCCAGGATTTCCTCCCAGACCTACTTCTTATTAATATGTTGGCTGAACTGTTTGAAATTGTAACCAGAATCTAGTGATGCCAAGGATATGTGATACTATTTTCCCAGAAAAATGGGAGGTGCATATAGTGTGGTAAGGATTGGCCATATCTGGAATCAATGGACTTCAAATGGCATAATGTGAAAATGAAGGTTCAGCATGGCATCTATATCTGGAATGTAGATTATTGTTCTTCAACAGATTAAGGTTGCACATAAGAAAAAAATTAAGATCTCCAAAGTCAGATCCCCAAATAAGGTCGCAAATTTGGGTTACTTTTGTCCACTTACACGAATGGAGGAACAAAGTGAGAATAAAGAGATCATGTGCAGTAGCATATTCACAATACATCAGGTTAGACTATGAATCCTTATATTATGTGCAAGAGTGAACATAATGGACAGCTAGATGGGCATACAAATTTAATAATAAATAAGAATGGCTAATGTCAATCAAAATTTCCAGCACCCATGGCTTTCATTCTTCACGCATACTTCCTATCTTCAAAAAAATACAGATAGTCCTCGATTTACAATAGTTTGCTTCTGACCATTCAGGGTTACAATTAATGGCATTGAAAAATGTGATTTATGATTGTTTTTTACATTTATGACAGTTGCAGCATCCCCATGGTCATGTTAGCAAGATTCAGATATTTGGCAACTGATTCATATTTATGACGGGTCATGTGAGCCCCTTTTGTGACCTTCTGACCAGCAAAGTCAATCAGGAAGCCAGTTTCACTTAACAACTGCCTTACTAACTTAACAACCACTGTGGCAAGAAAGGCCATAAAATGGGGCAAAATTCACTTAACCTATGTTTCACTTAGCAACAGAAATTTTGGGCTCAATGGTGGTCATAGGTTGAGGACTATACCAGTATTAGAAGCATATGACTTCATTTATTGCATATGCAAAAGAAGTAGATTTTGTGTGTTGTGTAAGTGTGCATTATTTTAGCATGGAGTTTCTGTTCACTTAATGAATTCAGTTGACTTTTCGTTCAATTAATCTTTCCAAATGCTACAGCATGTGATACTATACATACCTACTGACTTTTTGTAAGCATTGATTTGAGAATTAGTATGGTGCAGTTGAATTAAGATTAGAAAGACTAAAATCCAAGTTCACTTTCAGCTCTCAGAGCTCATTGGCTGACTTTAGACTGGTGCTTTCTCTCAAACCAACTTACAATTATCACATTTGCAGACGACACGAAGCTGGCAGGAATAGCCAACACTCCAGAAGACAGGCTTAGGATACAGGAGGCTCTGGACAGATTTGAACACTGAGCGCTATCTAACAAAATGAAATTCAATGGTGAAAAAAGTAAGGTTCTACATCTAAGCAAGAAAAACCAAATTCACAGGTATAGTATAGGGGGTGCCTTGCTCAATAGTAGTAACTGTGACAGGGACCTCGGAGTCCTAGTGGACAATCACTTAAATATGAGCCAGCAGTGTGCTGCAGCTGCCAAAAAGGCCAACACAGTGCTAGGCTACATTAAAGAGGGATAGAATCAAAATCACGTGAAGTATTAATACCACTTTACAATGCCTTGGTAAGGCCACACTTGGAATACTGCATCCAGTTTTGGTCACCACGATGTAAAAAAGATGTTGAGATTCTAGAAAGAGTACAGAGAAGAGCAACAAAGATGATTAGGGGGCTGGAGGCTAAAGCATATAAGGAAAGGCTGCAGGAATTAGGTATGTCTAGTTTAATGAAGAGAAGGACGAGGGGGACATGATAGCAGTTTTCCAATATCTCAGGGGCTGCCACAAAGAAGAGGGAGTCAAGCTATTTTCCAAGGCGCCTGAAGGCAGGACAAGAAGCAACGGATGGAAACTAATCAAGGAGAGAAGCAA